ACTTCTGAACAGGAGTTATATGGTGATTTTAACGTTAATGCCGTTTAACGCGACTTTCTCCTCTCATTTGAAGAGGCTTATTGTTAGGCGTGAGATTGGAGGAAGGGAGGGGGAGGTGCCTCCGGGATGAAGAGACTGCGTACCGTGCGGCAAAAGTTGGAGTGCGTTACATCACAGGGAGAGTGACTTGCTCACGTCGAGCCCTCGGTTGCTCATACATACCAGGAAAGGTCATTAGGCCAACCCGGCCAAATGAAATGAGGTGCACATTTCTGTACGCAACATGAGACGCTGAACTCAAATCTGCTTTCATTATCTGCTGAACTCTTCTCTGAAAGGAGTTACGGAGGGTTTTTGTTGCCGCCCTTGATTTTCAGTGTCTTGCCTGCAATCACATGTTAGCTGCATTATAAAAGTATCGAAAGAAGAACCGAGGCACCCATGTGGTGAGCGTCGGTAGCGCAGTTTTTAGTGGTCTTGCTTCTCGAGTACCTAGAACCAAGTTTTTCGCCAAATCTGAGGTCATGAACTAATTGAGAAAAAGCGGAGCAGTGATGGGATTACCACTCCTCAAACTCCACTTTTTTGGGTTGACCAATCATGGACGACGGGGGAAGGGGAGAGAAGGTGTTGTATTAGGAAATAATTTGCAGATCTTTGGATGATGCAGACGGGCAAGCCAGACACAATTTTTGTCTATTATGAAAAGTGTTTAAAAGGTTTATTCTACCCAAGTGCCAGCCTTTTGTAATGGATTGGTGGATCGGTGAGTGACTGCCCAAATTTTCGAGGTTAGGTCAAAATTTCAGAATTCGCTAGAAGTTTGCTCAAAGGGAGAGTCTGGCTCCCTGATTACGAATATCATACTTGTTCGAAGCAAAAATGCCTGGCGCCTGCGCTACAAGCGCCCAAAGTAGTGAGGAGCGATGCCGCCCAAGTTCGTTATTAATTGCCCTTAAATTCTTTGTACTGTTAACTATACGCAAGCATGTTGGACTAGCGATGTTAGGAATCTTCCTAGCTATCTTACTGCAAACGGCAAAAGAACAAACTCGCCAGGGAGTCGATCCCCTGACCTCTTTTTCGTGAGCCTCGACCACAGCCTCTGCGCTTTTCTGCCTCATAATTTCTTCCGGAGAAGACATCCTGGTTGACTCTCCCCTGGCGGCAGCACCAGTTGTGAGTGCTATTTTGTCAATCAAGGCATCGAAGTATTCTTCTAGGCAAATATTTAAAGGGAAATAAATTTTGAAATTTTGCAGTTGCAATTGTTTACTAAGACGCGATGTTTCAATGCTGGGTCCGGCCACTCTGAGCAGTTATTATTGAAATGAAAAACTAGCCTTTGTGTTGCACTCTTACGTGTTCGCTACGTTCAAATACTGTCATTCACAGGGTAATATCTAGCTTGAAAGAGACATGATTTTGCGTTCCGACTTTTATTGATCCCTAATATTGACATATAAACAAAAGAGAAGAACGCTGCAGATGTGCTCCATTGCAACTGCTTGTGGCTGTCTGCTCAGCCACTACCATGAGCAAAGTCCAACATTGCCGTTGCAGTTGTTGGGACCAGCAGGGCACTGGCTACAAACCGCTCCGATTGGGTAGATGCTTGTTCCAACAGTGTTGACACTAAAAAGGAGACGTTGAATGTAGCGGCAGTGAGGAATTCAAATGGAAGCTTACTAGTCTCTGTATAAGCAGGATGTGAAGTAGAATCCGTTACATCTCTGTGTTGCACATCCAATGTCTCTGTTATTACCCCAGACGATCTGAATTTCATTAGATTCTGCGAGCAAGCTCCAAATGCAGTCATGAATCGCGTCTTATGCGTTGGGCTATGCGTCGGGTGTGAGTCCAGGCTGAGTTATCTGCCAGACTGTGAATCGCGGAGTAAGAACGAAGCACCAGTGGTTCAGACGATGTCACCGACATAACAGCGTTTGAAAGTAGTGGGAGTACGCACGTTGACTCCGCCACTTTCCCGGGCTATCTAGCCATGGCAGAGCAAGAGGGCATGAGAGAGTCAGGTCACTAGTACATCGTTCGAGCCACTAGTGCATCACTCGTATACCGTTTCGCTAGATTTGCCAATTTTGATACCGGCCTTAGGTCGAAGGAACTTGGTTTTCGGGTTTGTGAAACGTTGAGTGGCCCTTTAAGGTCTTGACATAAGCTCGAAAAGTATTGTATCCCAGAAGAGTGCCGAAAGCAGAGCGCATATCCAAGGATTTTGAGAACCGGTTACATCACCGCTTTCAAAGCTGACGCCTTGAAACTACACCCAACGCTTGGCCAATCATTAGTTTATTTAAGGTAAAGCAAACCTTAGTCATGTGATTCGCCACATAGTTTTGCATCCAATATGTGAAGACCATGTTTGAGGGAACTCCAAACCTTGCAAGCTCGGCTTGCCATGTTGCTATCGCCTGATGGAATTTTCGTAGCGAAGTTTGAATGAGGTAAGTGTTAAAAAGCAAATGTTACGAAATTCAGCTCTGGAACCGGGTTTCGACCTACATTCTGAATGGCTCCTAGTCTATCGGTTGCCGTCGTCCAAAGGATGTGGATGTTTTCTTTCCAGCCAGGTCTTTGCCAAGCATACGATTGGCGTCCGCTGCAGCTTCTTACGTGCGCTTGGGCGTAAGCTTCTGCCCAGCAGTTATATCTCTGAATTGTGTTAAGAAGATAGAATATTGCTACGTATTCATGAATCGTGTTGATGGTGGAATATCTCTACCAGAAGGTACATGAGCGCTGATGGTGGTGCATTTTCGTTCGAATAAAATCCATTCCTAGCTCGCCCAGTAGCAACGAGGGATCTAAACAGAATAACAGACAAATAAACAATTTACAGAACAAACAACGCCTCCATCGATGTCACCTGAAGTTATTGTGCATCCCAAGAGCAGTATTCCTGAATGCCAGCGAGAACGCCCTGCTTGGACATGCTGTGGACGCTGTAAATCCAATTGAACTCGTTTGATTGAGAGCTCGTAAAGGCAATGAAATGTTTACAGGCGCTGAATGGTGAATTAACCTGGCGTTTCGACAAGTTCGTCTTCTTTGAAGCAGTTCCCAATTCATCAACTCATTACTGCCACTTTCATGCTCGAAGCAGTTCTGTTGTGGCTAATCGCTCAGCAGGGAATGTTGGCCAGTGCCAATCCCGTCGCTGGTTTGCAGATCTCCATTTCAGCGTCGGGGTGCTCAAGTTGTGGCATAAAATTTTGATGTAAGGCATGCTTCTGGCCAAGGTCAAATCTGCCATGAAGGCTTTGATGAGACAGAAACTTTATTGAGAATATCCATGGAATTCAGGGACCTTTTTTGTCGTCTCAGTAGTTAGAAACAATGATAGACCCTTCTTGGAAGTGATAAGGAATTTGGGGGTAGCACCGACACAAAGGCGTTAACAGCCTCGTGTGAAGCGTCTCAAAGTTCGAGAAATGCAAGCTAGCTAGCTCTGCTCCTCGCCTACTGCGTTCACGAATTGAGCAGTACTGATTTATTCCTGATCTCACCTCAGTTGATGGGGGTGGGGACAGGGGATTGAGAGGAGGGAGCGGAGTTGCTCCGCAGGCCACCATCCCTAAGTGTGGCGGGCGAATCATAATTTTCTGTCTCAAAGTCTCGAGTGCGACGAACTTGTCCAAAATTCGAACGGAATTGGAATTTCCCAACGTGCTTCAATGGCTCAAGAGAATCGCTACAGTTTTGATAATTTCAAAGAAAAGGGAGAGAAGAAAATTATTTGAAACTCACGAGGCGTGGTGGTGGTCGTAGTAGTTGTTGTAGTAGTAGTTGTGGTAGAACTTGTAGTAGTGGAGTTGGGAGGTTGGGCTGTTGTTGTAGTAGTGGAGCTGGGGGGCTGGATTGTGGATGAGGTGGTTTGCATTTGGCCTGGGGTGTTTGGTACTGTGGATACGACTGCGCCTGGGTTGGTGGTAGTTGTTTGTGCGGTGGTTTGCATTGAGCCTGGGGTGTTTGGTACTGTGGATACGACTGCGCCTGGGTTGGTGGTAGTTGTTTGTGCGGTGGTTTGCATTGAGCCTGGGGTGTTTGGTACTGTGGATATGACTGCGCCTGGGTTGGTGGTAGTTGTGGGTGCGCTGGTGGTTGTTGCGGCTGTGTCGGAAGTTGTTGTGGAGTGATGGAGGCCGTTGTGGATGTGGCTGCAACACAGGAGTAGTGGTGATTGTATAATATTATAGTATAGATTGTATTGTATAATATTATAGTATAGATTGTACTAGTCGTTGCTGAACATTTAGAACTGATGGAGGCACCTGGGCCGGTGGCCTGAGCAGGGCAGTTGACCTGAGCAGTTCCGTTGGCCTAGGCCGGGCTGGTAGTCTGAGCATTGCCGGCCTAACCTCATTCGGCGGAACTTTCTTGAAACTTGAAGCGAAAGCCCCAAGAGTTCACATTTTAGCTACTAATGGAATGACTGGATGCTTATGCTTGTCAAGAACGCCTGAAGTGCCGCGCTGAAAGCCCAGGAGAGCCGCTGAGGTAGATTTTGTTAGGTGTCAAGTGGTTCGCTCCGCCATTTCCTGCTGTCTACGCACTTGCTAGCCCGATTCCTAGCCTAGTGGAATCGCGTGATGGGCTGCGTGGACACAAGCGATCGTTCAGGGAATGCAGTGACTACACGAACTCGTTCGTAGTATTTGAACTCGAAAAATGTTCAGTTTGAGCGCATGCCTGTTTCTCAATCGAACCTACGCCGTTTCTGCCGCTGCCGATTTAAACTATGTAATTTGGAATCTGTATATGTCTTTTGTTTCAAAAATATCCTACTATGCATGAATCGCTAGTTTGGCTTTTGTTCTGATAAGCTCCACTGACAGTTCCTCTTTTCTAAAATTAATTAATAGAGCAAGCAAGCGCTAAGATTTCTTTTCTTCCATATTCTGACTGAAAGAAAGTTTCTCCGCTTGGTTACCTGATATATTATTTTTTCCGAACATGCAGGGAGTTTTGTTTTTAACCCATTGCGGACCGACAATTTCTTCAGTATACTTTTTTGGACACAGAATATTCATGTATTTGACATAATTGATTTTTTCTGATAATTAGTGGTTGCTTCTAACCTAACACGGAGCCCGTTCATTGCAGGCAAACTCGCGCTACTGTCCCGGCCCAGGATCTTCCTTATCAAGGGAGAACCGAGAGAGTCAAGAGTTTCATGGACGGTTCTCTTTGTTCCTTTTTTCATTTGCTGTCAACCCCCCAGCCACAAGCTCATCATCGACCGTTCTTACCCTACCAAATCGATCTGGGGGTGTTGCTTGATAAAATGTCTTGATAAAGCGGTTGTTGTATGCTTGGTAACCCTACCGTCACCGTAATCGTAGTCGCCCTGAGTCTGACCCAGCACCAACTGGCATTGTAGGATAAGGAAAATCAGCTGAAAGAAGGTTGCTTAGAACTGCAGAAGTAAAATAGTAGTGAAAATAGAACTATAAGCAATAGACCAACTTACAGAAGTAGTCACACAGGAAGACATCGATGCCTGGTGACTTGCGATCGGAACGGCTTTTATGCGAAGCCACTTTGCACTGTGACAATATTGCCACGGTGCGTGGCGTGGGCTGTTGTTGATGTTGAGTTGGTTTCTTCTGACATTTTCACAATAGTGGTACGTGATCCGTGATGTAAATCGGAGGTTCATACGCACTTGAATAGAAATTCAATATCAATATCTCATTCGTGATTGCTTGGCCCGAGGAAATTGAGACATCTCTTTTCATCAAGTGCAGTTGAGCAGTGACCAGTAACACCATTCAATAATACTAATATGAAAAATTAATGAAGGTGGAGCGATGTGTGTTTATCAATCTTTCTGACCGCAACGAAGTCCAGATTCGTTTCTAAGCTAGTACTGCATGTAGTTTCCTTCCCCAACAAAGCTTACGATAGCAGCGCGATCGTAACACGGTCCCCGTTCTTACATGGAGAACCGCCTTGTCGTTCAGCAGGCACCATCGCTCTTCCATGCTTCCAAATCTCTGGCGACTAGCATTCCAAGTAGGCCACGTTTTTAACAATACTTCAAAAACCAGTCAGTCCTCCGGTTGTGTTCTACCTAGCTGTCTCGTTTTATTTTTTGGGAGCTACTATATGACTCGAAGTTCCCATTTATCATCGCTACGGCGAGTGGATGATATGCGTAAAAATGTTTGGAATGCTCCATATACTGGAAGGTATACTTCCTTCACTTGTGAACTTCGCAGACTTTGTTGCCATTGCTGATGTCAGCTAATCTTCAGAAAACTTATTTCTAGCCCACGATACAGATTGCATGGCTTTCGTTGTCGTCTTGCTCTCAAACCAGGTTTTGTTGGCTTGAAAAGGGAGTCACCAGATGGACAGTTGCATAACGAGAAACCACAACATCTTCAATCGAAGGTTTTGCCTGACCGACGTCGCTGTTGCTCTGAAGTTCTACACGGGATCGGACCATCGTGTCCTCCGCGGTGCTTGATACGAGAGCAGCAAGCCCAAGACAC